ATTTGTGTTCTTTGCCTAGCAAATAGAAGAAGAATAGACACTATATTCATTTGCGGCCCTTTCAACTGTGATAGTCTATAATTCCCTGTGCTAAAAACCCATCTCTGCATCATTGAAATAGCTTTCTTTTCCAAACATTGAAGGGCAGAATATTACATCACTTTGATTTATAGGAGACTCAACTGGCTTTCTACTAAGAGAATTTTACCCAAGGACTTTTTGTTTATGCTCTCTTTCATAAATCAATAGAAAAACAAAATTTCCTAGTTTACTCAGGTATACATTTCCTCAAACTGTAAGAAAGAGATTTATTAGAGAATTCCAGCTAAGTCATTGTAATAAAAATCCTTTAAAATTTTTTTATGATTTCTTTCAACAAAAGTGAATGTGAATAAAGAAAATAGAGAAATATTTCTTATAACAGAGTAAGATATTATGAGCATGTGAAATAAAAGACTGCCAAGTTGATATGGTTTTATAGTTATTAAAGATTCCTTTTTCAAAGAAATGTTTCTCCATCAGTCTGAGTCTCATCATTACAGATTCATTCCCTATATTTACTATTTATGAAAGTATAAAACAAGTATCAAATATAAGCTATTATAATATCTTGGTAATTTTACTATTAAATAATAATTTTACATAGCCTTCTAAAGATGACAACTCCCGCATATATTATCACATGAAAACCTCATTAATTCCATGAAGAAATTAGAAGACCCTTTATCTAAATTTATAGATAAAAAAAATCATCTATAAATGAGATAAAATGACTTGTTCAGGGTCATCTAGGCAGCAAGTAGTAGGATTGAGATTAGAACCCAGCCTCCTGAGATGATCCCAGTTCTTTTTATCCAACGTTTCTCCTAGGAAAGAGACGGCATGAGTTAGGAGGTCAGAATATGGAGATGCGGCTTTTAAAGACAGGCTGACTGACCTGAATTCAAATTTTGTATCTGCTATTTCTTTGCTGTGTCATATAATGACTTAAACTCATTTTTGTTTTCTGTAAAGAATCAGAAATAAGAATATTATATAAGTAATAGAGGGGCAATAGTATACATTACAGTACTTGGTGTTAATAATGCATAGTGTAATCTTTTTGTTTTTTACCACTTGATATATTTTTAATCTTATAACTACCCTGTTTCCCTGAAAATAAGACAGTGTCTTATGTTAATTTTTGCTCCCAAAGATGCCCTAGGTCTTATTTTCAGAGGATGTCTTTATTTTCGGGGAAACACAGGTAGGTTGAGAGAAAGGATAGGGACATAAAGATAATTTAAAGAGAGGTACTATTTTTTTTGTGAGCCTCATATTTCAAACTGTAAAAGTTGTTTTCATTAGGTTCTATTTTTCATTCTTCCTTGAGTATGCATTGCCTATCCCCCACCTGTATGTCCTTCCTGATATCTTGACTCTCTGATGAATGCCTATACATTTTTTTTCAGTCTCAAATTCCAGAGTTATCTCGTCTTTAACACTTTCTCTGATGCCATAGGCTATTCTTGTGGCATTCCTGCAAAACTCAACTTCCCTAATATGTATTTACATATTTAAGATGTGTCTCTTGTGGTGCTAGGGAACTCTGGTAGTGCAACCTGAGAACACTTCATAGAACTGATCTAATTTTGTTTGTTTTTCTAAGGAGTCCCCACACATTGGGATTTTATTGACCTTTTCTGTTTTAAAAGTGAGAACTAATGTAGAAATACCAACTTTTAACTTTCTAAGTGAGGATATAATAAACCACCACACAAGAAATGGCATTTGATACCAAAATATAAAATCTCAGGATTAAAAAAAATTAATAGATTAAGCTTTTTGGAAACTTCATAGAGGAGGGGGGGGGCTGCATTTTCAGGGAACAGGTCTTGAGGGAAGCACTGGTTTAAATATATTTCTGTTCCAATTTGATAGTTCTTAGAGATATTTTTTTCATAGTCACATTTACATTCCTAATGCAGTGCTCTCTGCTTAGTAGGAAGTACTCAATAAATGTTTATGAATGAGGCAGTGAATCTGCCTCTGAGCAAATACAGCTGAGATCCATGGCAATGCCCACAGCGCAGAGCACCTGTGAGAGGACGGGGTCGTAGTGAGAAGCACCGGAGTTGCGCGTGTACTGATATAACTTACTTCCCCGGTTTGCCAGGCACCAGCCATTCAGATTTTTGCAGCGTTAAAACAAGGTTGTCTTGTCAGAGAACAAGTGAGGAGGCAAGGCAAGAAATAAGATACTGGGGTATATCACTATAGGAAGAAATGGATTCTCTTTCTGGGGCATAATTTAAAATATTACATGTGACATTGTAGGTCCATTAACATTATAATAAGTATAGCTATAGTAAACAGATAACATTCATTTAATATTCACTGTATCAGGCAGTGTTACAAGTTGTTTGCATGCATTGTGTCGCTTAATCGCTACAACAACCTGTTGAGGTGATGTGATTACTATTCCCATTATACTGATGAAGAAACTGAGGCTTGAGATGGTTGAAGGATTTGCCCAGCATCACACAGTTAGCCAGTGGCAGAAGTAGGTTCAATCCTGATACATTTGTTTTTAGAGTTCACCCAAACTCTCAGATCCCTTTCTAGCTATATATTTCTAATACAATGAGCAGAGTTTTGTTGCTCATTTTAAAAATGAGAAAATTAAAATGTTTCTTTCTAGCCAGGATGGTAAAGCTTGCAGGGTACACAGTTGTTTTCCACTTAAAAGCTGTGTGACCATAGCAAATTCCTTAACATCTTTGAGCTTCAATTTCTACATCTCTAAAATGGGGATGAAAGCCCTCCTTTCTGTTCTTGGGATAATTGAATGGATAGTATATCTAAAATAGCTAGCAAAGGGTATGGATTATAAAGGGGTTTCATAATGTTAATTCACTAATGGTCTTAATAAGTTAAAATATTTTTTAATTAAAACCATATTAAATATTGGAGAAAGGATGAGAGAAAATAGATCATTACTCTGGTGAATAAAGATGCCTACATTTACAGAATTCTTTGGAGAGCCATGAGGATTATGTTTGCTGCAGCCCTCATTTCAATTAAGAATGTGAAGATCAGATATTTCAGCATGGGGATAAGTTTATATTTGATTACTAGTACACCACAGTTGCACATTTGCAGCATCTCAACATTCCATTCCATGGCTATAGGCCTATGAAGCTAGTTCAGCAAACCTGAAATTGCAAGATAAATGGAACGTGCTTAATCATTAAAAAAGAAATAGCAAAAAATGCCCAGGTACCAGTGAGACCATTTTGAAAAACCGACAAATGCCTTCACTAAACGGTCAGGCTATAAAATTAAAAGAGTTCATCTCGAGTATTTTTACACAAACATTTTCAGAAAAATGTGTACATATCTATATGCAATCTCCTTTTGGGAAAAAGTATTATTCACTGAGAAAAGCACGTTGCAGAACAATGTGTTAAATATGAACTTCTTTTGTAAACACAGTGTTGAGCCCCACCCATATCTGAGTCTGGTTTTTAGGGATGTATATGAACATGGAGACTGTGAACGGTTCATGCCAGGATGTCACAGTGGGAACCTCAAGACTGATTGGCCTGAGAAAGTTTGTGGAGAGAGTTTTGCTTCCTGACATTTTTGTATTATTTCCCTAAATGCAATGAGCATAGATTACTTTGGACCAAAAATATTTAAAAATATAGAAGGAAAAATGTACACTTAAAAAAAGTCTCTATATACCCATTCATTTATTAATTAACCCATATTTATTGAATCCTTAGTAATAATGATTAAAGATTGGTCTTCTCTGTGAATTGTCAGACTTGACTTTTTCAGAGGCATGCTGGCTAACCATGATTTTACTTTGTGGGGTTAGCAATGTGATTCTATACTCTGTTCTAAAATCTTGTCCTATTCCCCTTGGGGATTAACAGGATATATTAAATTTAAACCACTTGTAATTAATTTCACTCCTGTCCTTTCCACCTGTAGTTATCACATTAGAAGGAGGACTAATTGACTTCCCAATTCTATTGACTTGTGGGTAGTCATAGGTGGCAAGAAGTAAAGTTTAGGGTAGAAAGATAAAAGTTTTACACCAATCAGAAAGGAAATATGCACCCCTATGTTCATAGCAGCACAATTTACAATAGCTAGGATTTGGAAACAGCCTAGGTGCCCATCAGCAGATGATTGGATAAAAAAACTATGTTACATCTACACAATGGAATACTATGCTGCCATAAAAAAAGAAGGAATTCTTATCATTTGCAGCAACCTGGATGGAATTGGGGAACATCATGCTGAGTGAAATAAGCCAATCAATGAAAGAGAAACACCACATGACCTCACTCATTTGTGGATAATAAAGAGCATTATAAACTGATGAACAAAAAGATAGATACAGAGACAGTAAAGCAACAGACTGTCAAATTACAGCAGGGAGGATAGGGAGATATGGGGGAGATAAGAGATCAAATGAAGGACTTGTATGCATGCATATAAGCATAACCAATGGATGAAAAACTTTGGGGGAGGGCAGGAATGGGCATGGGGGAGCAATGGAAAGATATGTATACATATAATACCTTAATTAAAAAAAAAAAGATAAAAGTTTTAGTCCTGACTCTTCCATTCACCAGATATGCATTATTGGTATGATACTTCCTTCTTTTTAAACTCTCAGCACCATACTCCCTCCTTAAGTAACAATACCTTTCTTACAGCATGGTTATAAAGCTCAAGTAGGATCATATATTAAAAGTCTTAAAAATTGATGGGTAAGTATATATTTCTATTTCTCCACAAAGAATTTGCGATATTGCTTTCTATCAGAGACCGATGACACATGTTGACAAGTATTTGCAGATTTCTACTGGGAGCAAGACTGTCTGTCATAAGCTTGGCACTAAGAAGTTTCAGTTAGCCCCAAAGCAACCGCTGACACATTAGGCAAATACAGTTTCTTCCTGGTAATGACCACAAAACCCAATTAACCAACAAGCATATCTGACCTGGTGTAATCGTCCTCAACAAGCATGTGCTTTGGAATTGGTGAGTACCTTCCCGGAGAGATGGGTGGCAGGGAGGTTTTATATTCTAAAGTGCCATTGTTGCCAGAAAGTAGATGGTTTTCCATCGGTGGAGAGTAAGCTATGAGGTGAAAAAAGAAAAGGAAAGAAAGAAAAAACCCTGTTATGTGGGTGATTCAATGTCTCATGCTATGGCTTTATTAAAAACAGAAAGGCTCTGCTACATGCCAAGAATTTTCTTGTCCTCCAAGAGGGGGCGGGTGCTGTTTGTTTGCATTTAATACGTCTGAGCACAAAGTGACCTTTAGGATTGGAAGATATAATAGCAGTTATACTATAAGCCCTGTTAGCATAATTAGGTGAAGCGAAGAATTGGAGGAGAGATTTAGCACACATGTTTTCAGAATGATGATTAATTTTTCTATTGAGATAAAAATGTTGGCTTTCTAAGTACAGTGCTCACATTCTTTTCACATAATTTCTATCCAATCATCAAAAGCAAAAGGCTCCTAGGGACAAGTTCTTGTATATATTTTAATAAAAAATCTGCTGTACTCACAGAGCAGGAAGACTAAGAACTCAGGCCTTCTTTTCTATCCACTCACTCCAACTCATCTCCTTTCGGGATGCTGAAAATCCTTCCTAACTGGATCTCCTGCTCGCTCTTTCCATTTTATACATTGAGAGTTCCAGCTCTGATCATGATGTTCTCTAGCGTAAATGCTCTTCATTACCAGGAGAGTATTGAATATTTCCTCTCCCTTTCACCGTTCTTACAAGGCCAATTTCCAATCTCCCTTCCAGATGTCTTATGGCCTTCAAACAAAGCCTGTCCTTCACAACACCTGTACCTTTGTTCCACTATATTCACTGCAACAATTCCTGCCTCCTACCCCAATTCTGATATTGAAATCTCATCCATTCTCTAGGATAATTTTCAAATACCACCTTCTGCATACTTTTTTTTTTAAATCTTCTAAAAGCAGGTAATATCCTCTCCCTTTAAGTGCCCAAAAGACATATATATATATATATATATATATATATATATATATATATATATATTTACCTGTTTCATAGCCTATGCATCCTTTTATTTTGCCATCTGTTGCTGCTATTTATATTTCTGAATTAGTGTTTCTTCTAATGAAAGCCAGGGTGGTATATCCTGTGTATACCATATATTACCTAACAAGGTGTTTTGTACGTATTAAAGTTGCTCAATACATATTTCTTACTTGAATAGAAAGTTTTATTTTCTCTCTTTTGAAATAACCTTATAAGCCTTCATGAAATAGTTCACAGAGTATCAAGGCTGATTTTTCTAAGTTCATCCAGTTTGAAACACTTTGAGGTTCAACCTCTTTCATATCCTAAGGTAAGGCTTATCTCAGATTACTACCTTCTTGGAAAAAAAAAAAAGCATATCTGGGGGCAAGTCACTTTAGAATCACCATTAAGAAAAGCAATAGCTAATGTAATGGGCAGGTAACAACATTATTCAACCTATAAACTTCTCTCAAGAGAAAGATCTATATCTAGGAGAGGTTAACCAATTTGCTTAAGACCATGATCCTAATTAATGGCAGGTCCTGAAGACATTCTGTGTTCCCAAACCTTCCAAGTGGCTCCTCAAAATCTCAGAGTGAGAAAACTTACTGATGTCAACAAAACTGTCCCTTAAACTCAATAAAAAAAAAAGAGAATTGCTTCACAATGAGGTCCACTAAGACAGAACTTTAGGTAAGTTCTTATTGACCTATTAAGAAGAGTTCTAGAAAAGACAGCATCTCATAGTTTAGTTTTTGCCCTAGAAATCCCTACCTTCAACCCACCTTTACTGCCTTAGTGACTAACAAATTTATCTGGCTTCTCTACCAATATAACAAAACCAGGTAAAGGTAAGAGCTATGAGGATCCAAGTATTGGATTGGAATACTATGCATCTTCTTGGCAGGGGGCTAGGGGGATTCACCAAATATAAGATTCCCCCTGCCCCCCCCCCCCCCCCCCCCCGCCAAAAAGATGCATAGTATTATCTTGGGTTTATTTTGCCAACCTGTCTTTTTCCCTCTGCTATCATATAGACTTGAACCAGGAAGAGAAAATATTATGGCATGAGAGCCATTGTGCTTTAGGGACTTAATAAATAGCCCTTTAAAATGTGTTGCTCCTATGTTATTGTAACCACACTGTCTACAACATACATTATTAAGCCTTCCCACAGTGGCAGGCCTGCCAAATCATCAGGGGATCTCACCTTCAAAACACTAAGCAACCAGGGAGTAGAGCACAGGATCCGACTGAAGTATTTCCACAGGCTTAACAAATGGGCAGGTATGAGCACAGGACTTGGCCAAGGTTTGCAGAATTCCAATTTCACAAACCTGGCATGCTATTTGAAGATGACACAGAGGGTGGTACTTACAGTGAGTAATATCAGGTGGGCCATAAGGATCAGTCATATAAATGGTGGTGGGCTTGCCAACTTTTAGATAAACTACATCTGACGTGTTCTTCAATATTGCTACTGCCTCTTCATGTGTTACTTCTTCTAAACTGTAGTTGTTTACCTGAGGGGTGAAAAAAATTAGAGTCAAAACTCTGCAGGTGAAGGGAAATACTCAGGCAAAAAGATACGTGGCATTTTGACCTCATTTCAAGATTAATTGCAATGATTATAGTTCAGTATTTTATACTTTGGCAGAACAGATTAATGGCATTAGCCAAAACAGGTGAGATAGAGCTGTTGATGCTAAAAAACAAGCTTGCTCCTGCCTTTTCCTGTGATGAAGCACTACATTATAACAGCAAGCAGAACACTCTGTGGAAAAGTGAAAGCAGTGGTCAAATGTCTTTCTTATTCTTCCAGACAAAGTCCCAGCTTCCCTGAAACTCACTTTCTAATACATTCGAAGAACACAGTTGTTTATGGAATGAATAGATAGAATGGGTTCATGCAGAAAGTGAGAACATAGAGGGACTACAGGTATGGAAACACAGTTGATCATGGCAGCCCTTATGTAATAGAGAAAAAAAATAGTAATAATATTAATAGTTAACACTTATTTGAAATCTGTATGTCATATGTTTTCAGTGTACTATGTAAAAGTTCTGACAGAAATCATATAATGGATCCTGGTTATAGCTCCTGAGGAAAGCATGAATAATTAAGGCCATTGTACAGATGAGAAAAACTGATGTTTAAAGAGGCCAGCTTGCAACAAAGAGGCCAGACAGCCTCCAAAGGGCAAAGCCATCCGTTGGATTACAGTCCTCCTGAAAAATGAAAATGATACTGCCCCTGAGTGCTGGTTCATTGAAACCCTGGGCTTACACCATCTATTCTTTCTCTCTTGAAGAGAACAGAGTCTCTTTCCAAGTTTACAAATAGAAGTAACATAAATTCCAAAGTGTTATATAAGCCTGAGTAATCATTATACTTCTTCCTCAATACAGTGGTGACTATATTGCATCATCCAAATATACTGACATAGTTAAAAGATAAATAAATAAAATGGATCATAGCTGGGTATATCTGTCTCTTTGAGGCCTTCTTATATATTTGACCACTTGTTTTAGGACAGTATCACTTGTACCTAAATAATGACTATTTACAAATGATGCTCATATACAGTCATTTAAAATGTGTATTGAAGTAGATGTTTTATCTCAAAAATTATTACTTAAGGTAGCTCTGAATATCATGACCAAGGGCCCCAGCATCACCTATAGAATGTGTGCCCCCAAAAGGTATACACACACTTTGAATAATTATAAAGGCCCTGCTTATTAGAATACATTTCATTTTCAAAATTGAGCTATCAGCTATTAAAGTGCATATACATTTTTTTTGGGGTGGGGAGAAACATCCTGTATATTGATAAAACAAAATGGAAGAGGAATTTGCTGGCAAAACTCAGAGAGGATAACAAGTCAAGGAATAGACTCAAAGTCTAGAAACCACCATGGGAGCTCTGTTTTTGACAAGGGCTCATAGTCTCTCCCCAGGGTACAGAAAGCACACAGCTCATTAGATTACCCATGAAAAAGAGGTGTGGGCAGTGCTTATTAAATTGCATTTTTAAGGTGCGCAGTGAAACAGTCTTGAAAATGGTACCTTGAAGCATGTTTTCTGAGAATGACGTTGCTGACAGACTCTTAGACCACAAGGAGCATCTTTGGGCCAGAAAGCAGATGAAGCCTCGGTGGAGGTGAGGAGTGGGGAAAGAGAGGACATCGGGGGAGTAATTTACCATGGTGGTGGGTCAGTCTGTTTTTATTTGAGACAAGGAAATGTTGGAAAATTTAAAGAGCGTTTAGACATGAGCGAGTGGTATGATCTTAAGGATGCAGTCATTAAAAGCACATGCTTTTGTGTCATACAGACCTGGATCTTAGTCCTTGTCCTGGCACTTTCTAGCTGTGTGACCTTATCTCACCTTCTTGGCCTCTGTTTTGACATGTGTAAATAGGTATGAAAAGAATCACTGGATTTAGACACACTCACCTATGTGAAGTGACAGGTGCATTGAAGTACTTATTAATGGTAGATCTTATTAGCATTACTATTGTCATCATCCATCCCTTTCCCCAGGAAACAGAAATTCTTGGTGAAATTTTGTGCTGAGCATTTTTCTGTAAACATCTGTGAACTGATGAATTTAATTGGGGTACTGTTGATGAGGCTTCTCTGTGTTATTTATTTATTTATTTATTTTTAATTCAGAATAGTACAGGATCTGGATCAAAAAGTGCTCTTTTGTGCTGAAGTCTTCAAAATGTTTTTCACAAATGTGGGTTTATTTGGGTTAATTACATGTGTGCATTCTATGAACCCTCAAGATAAAGGGCCTACAGCTGGAGCTGATTGTACAAAGAGAGAAGGGATATTATACTGATTGGCTAGTTGCTCTTGTCATTGTTGTTCATTGTCTTTTTTCTTTTCTTTTGCACTGAGTATCTGCCTATAATAGTGAACACTGAGCAACTGGCCTGGTTTTATAAACAAAATCATGTGCATGTGAATGAAGTATTTCCATAGAGTGTGTGTACTACACGGTGGGGGGTGGAAGGGACACAAGTGCAGTATGGCCATTAGGACGTATGCCATAGGACCCTGGACTGAGGCCAAGAAAGAGAGGTTGGAGGTGAGATGACTCATCCTCTCAGATAGAGGAGGGAGCACTGAATCTGAGGACGATGTAGATAAAAGAGGGCAAACCAGCTAGGAGACTTGTCAGAGGGAACATGGCAAGTGTGGTGAGAATTCAAATGAGTGTAAGCACATATACAGGTGTTCCCCAAAAATGTATACACAGTTTGAATAATTATTAATTACAATGGGTTAAATCAGAAAAGGAAGAAACATCAATTGAGTTATCAGCTGTCCCTGTATATGTGATGGTACAAAGACAGGAGGTGTGGGGCATAAGAGAGTGGGAAAAAGGAGGAATGATCCAAGTACTGATGGAGAGATCCTGACCTTCCCATATACATTCAGAAATACCAAGGTGGTGGGACAAACTGGGAGGTATTGAGAATATAAAAGTTAGCCAGAACATACCCTAAGGAAATGTGAGACTCTAGAAATACTAAAAAAAATTACGAACTCCCAAGTTAACTTTTTAAAAAGGAGACAAAGTCATTAATCACTAGATTGTATGATAAATTTAAAAGGAGACCAACCTAATGTATTAATGTCAATGACATAAAAATAAATGTGCATAAACTAAAGATTAAAATCTCAGCAGGACATTGAAATTAATTCTTATGGAAAAATTGATTTTTAAAATAACTATGAATAAATATGAAACTCTAACAAGGGTTACCTTTGAATAATAAATATTTTCTTATTTTTCTTTTTAGCAATGAGCATGTATTAGTTATTGCTAAAATGAAATTAACTCTATTTTTTTAAATGAGCCAGAAAAGAAGTTTAAATAAGAAGGGACATAAACTAAGCTCAGTGGCTTCATTATGAAACACACACAGCAAGATCTCATGCTTGATGGAAATTGGAATGGGAAAGAAAGAAGATGATTTTTCATGCTCAGTGAGTTGACCAACACTTATTAAAAATAATTTGCCATATTTTAATTCCAGGTGTTTCTAGAAATAAAGTCAACTTGGTATAAAAAGAGTAATTTTGAATATAGAATTGGGTTTCAATTTTTAGATTCATGGATTTTGGTAAGTTAACATGTTCATTTTCTTCTAGGTAAAATGTGAGTAATGCTGATTTATTGGTTGATTACTTGTGTTTACAAGAAAGGAATGATAGCATGAATCTAAAAAAACACTATAATAAAAAGCAGTATATAAATAGTAATCAAACATCATAATCAGACACAGTGCTTCTGCCCAATCCTGCTACTGAAAATAGTTTCTTTCTGTTCAGGGTTCTTTCTGTGAAAATGATCACCCCCTGCCTCTTCCCACTTCAGAGCCTGACCTCCGGGGCAATGATTAGATCATTTTTATCTTTGCATCCCCCCATTTGATACACTATAAAACACCAGGCACTTCATAAGTATTGAAATAATAAGCTAAATAAGTTAAAAAAATAACCAAAGGAAAAGTGATCAAAATTCTCCATTTTATATGGAGAATGAGGCATTTGCACTCGTTTCTATTTTACATTTGTGTTGAGTCAGAGAAGAAAGGATAGGGAATGAAGGTCATTCAACCAACAACACAATTATGGGACACTCATTCTGTGTCAGGCATAGGATATAAGGATGAAAGGCTGGCACAGAACATGAACAATGGGTCATATCGGCTTATAAGAAACAAGATGAAAGCTCCAACAGTGTACATTTCTCCTTTCTACATTAATTACTGATGCATCTTTTAATCTTATTCCAGAGAGAGAGAAAGAGAAAGAGAGAGAGATTGAGATTGACAGTGATGTGTTGATTGACTCCAGCTTCCTCTTAGCAGCGGTCACCACAACGAACCCCTGGGACCTCACTGGGTACAGGAAGAAATATTTGAACTTCTATTAATATTTACCACATTGATCTTAATCTTTCCACTTTTGTGTATGTTTTAAAATATGTAACATATAGTCACATAGTTATATATGTATGCAATTTAAAGTAGAGAAATATATATATATTAAAGGCAACTTTTTATGTTTTTATGGATGGGGTATGTTATTAAAAGTAATTTTAAAACCACCACTCTGTAGTAGGCACCAATATATGAAAACTAGGAGCAAGTTTCAGAAACAGAGTCATTAAATTATATATAAGCCAGAAAGCAACCTTACATGAACTGTCATTGCAATTGCATTTCATTGTAATTCTACTTCATTTGAGACAAGTTAGAAGGAAGTCTAGGAAGTAATTACCCAGTTTTTTGTTTGTTTGTTTTATTTTACGTTGTCTCAGAAGTGACTCCAACTTCAGCGGACAGACCTTTAAAGATGAGCTATTTGTAAATGTCTGTCAGCCCATTGCTGGAAGTTGCTCAGTGATGCTGTACCAGCTTGATAAAATGCCCATTTCCACCAAAGTCTCCCTCAGGAGAAGCAGTGAAGCAGCAGCAGAGCGGGCTAGGATGTGATTAG